TTAAAAGTATTTAAAAGGATACTGGTACTAAAATTTTCTCTTCAAAAATTTTTCTCTTTAGCTCTTCAAGAGGGAAGATGGAGCCTAAGAAGGTATCCTGAACCCAGGAGGCGGAGGTTGCGGTGAGCCGAGATCGCGCCATTGCACTCCAGCCTGGGTAACAAGAGTGAAACTCTGTCTCAAAAAAAAAAAAAGAATTGAGGCAAGGTATGGTGGCTCACGGTTGTAATCCCAGCACTTTGGGAGGCTGAGGCAGACAGATTGCTTGAGCCCAAGAGTTCAAGACCAGCCTGGCCAATGTGGCCAAACCCCGTCTCTACAAAAAAAATACAAAAGTTGTCTGCTGGGCATGGTGGTGTGTACCTATAGTCCCAGCTACTCAGGAGGCTGAGGTGGGAGGATCACTTGAGCCCCGGAGGTTGAGGCTACAGTGAGCCATGATTACACTATTGCATTTCAGACTGGGAGACAGAGTGAGGCCCTGTCTCAAAAATAAAAATAGTATTAAAAAGAATTGTGGATTAAAAACAACAACAACTTCATTTGGAGCTGGGCGTGGTGGCACATTCCTGTATCCCTAGCTACTTGGGAGGCTGAGATGGGGGGATCATTTGAGCCCAGGAGTTGGAGGTTACAGTGACCTATGATCACCACTGTTTTCCAGCTTGGGCAACAAAGCCAGACCCTGTCTCAAAAAAAACCTTGGGTCAGGCACAGTGGCTCATGCCTGTAATCCCAGCACTTTAGGAGTACAAGGCAGAAGGATCACTTGAGCCCAGGAGCTTGAGACCAGCCTGGACAACATAGGAAGACCTTGTCTTTACAAAAAAAAATACATATTTTTTTTGAGACAAGGTCTCTGTTGCCCAGGCTAGAGTGCTGTGGCCCAATCTGGTTCACTACAGCCTTGACCTCCCCAGGCTCAGGTGATCCTCCCACCTCAGCCTCCCAATAGCTGGAACTAAAGTCACATGCCATCATGCCTAGCTAATTTTTTATTTTTTGTAGAGACAGGATTTTGCCTTGTTGCCCACGCTGGCCTCAAACTTTGGGGTTCAAGGAACCTGACATCCTTGGCCTCCCAAAGTGCTGGGATTACAGGCATGAGCCACCAGGTCAAGCCCCTACAAATTTTTTTTTTTTTTAATTAGGCCAAGCGTGGTGGCTCACGCCTGTAATCCCAACGCTTTGGGAGGCCTAAGTGAGTGGATCACTTGAGGACAGGAGTTTAAGACCAGCCTGGCCAACATGGCAAAACCCTGTCTCTACTAAAAATACAAAAATTAGCTGGGTGTGGTGGTTGCATGTTTGTAATACCAGCTACTTGGAAGGCTAAAGCATGAGAATCGCTTGAGCTTGGGAGGCAGAGCCAGGCATTCTGGCATGCAACTATAGTCCCAGCTGCTGGTGAGGCTCAGATGGGAGGATAACTTGAACCTAAGAGGTGTAGGCTGCAGTGAGCCATGATGTGATTGCATCACTGCACTCCAGCCTGGTGGACCTTGTGAAGACCCTCTTCCAAAACAAAAACAAAAAACCCTTCATTTGATTGACGTTTCATTTAAAAGGCTATCTTAACTTTAATGAAGACAGTACTATAGAATGGTTCACTAGAAATATGGAAAAATTACATATTCAGAATGAAATTTTCTCCTCTTATAGAAAATGCAAATCTTTATACTAAAAGTCTTGGGGAGGAAAGTTGTTTAAGAGGATTTGATATGTTGCTTACAAGACAGAAATGAGTAACTAATGACTGACATTTTTATTGTACTTACCTTAGTTTGCAGGGTTTCACCCTCCAGTGAAGGGCTGGCCATGCTTTTATAAACACTGAACTTAGAAAATGTGCTAAGAAGCCAGGTGTGGTGGCACTCCCTAGTACTAGCTACTGGGACGCTGAGGAGGAAGTATTCCTTAAGACCAGGAGTTAGAGGCCGCAATGCACATGATTGTGCCTGTGAATAACCTCCAGCAGAGGCAACATAGTGAGACCTCATCTTTATTAAAAAAAGAAAATAAAAGGAAAGAAAAAAAAAGTCTTAATAGATATTGATGGTTGTGAGGGTTCAAACTTTCCAGATAATGGTACTAGATACAATATTCTATTTTTCAGTAATAGATGAGAATTGAGAATTTTCCATCAGAACAGATTAGCCATCAGTTTATTTTTCATTTTATTTGTGAAGTATCCTAATTGTTTGAATCATGTTGATCTGGATAGACTTAGTTTAACAGTATTTTTTCCTTTTGATGGCATTAGATTGTTCATTCATTCATTTGGCAAATATTTATGGAACTCCTACTATATGTGAGGACTGTCCTAGTCACCAGGAGTTTATTAATAAACAAAACAACAAAAATCTCTGCTTTCAAGTGCAAATAAACAAAAAAAGGAACTTCGTATGTCAAATAATATGTCAGATGATAAGAGTTACGAAGAAAAACAAAGTAGGGAAGAAAAGTAGGGAGTATTTAGGAGGGAAGAGTTTAATTTTGATATCTTATAGCCTTATTTTCTTGCTTTTGCCTTATATATAATCCTTACAGTTTCCCATTTCCACACTAAGCCTCAGTCATTACATTTTCAGGTAGGTTATAGTCAAGAGAAAAGATCTCAGAACTAATTGCAGGGTAAATGGATTTATAACCATGCCTGTGTAAATGGTAGATCAACTGCTAAAGAGAACTTTATATGCTGTTTGCAACACAGAAGCAAATAAGCAGTCTTTAGTATTTCAGCAATTGTGATCATCATTGGTGAAATTACGCTCAGTAAATAAAATTTAATAATGCAGAGAATGAATTAATTACTTAACAAGATCAGGAATGTGTGGACTTCATAGTAATTTTCTTAAGCAGTGCTCATTTCCCCGTTTTGACAATAAAATTAAGTAGGCCATTTTGTCCCACCGAGCATATAGTAAGAGCTAGTTATATTTAAGTTTATCTTTTTCAGCCTGCCAAGAGCACAATTTTATGCCATTTATATTTTTGCACCTTCCTTTCATTTATTATATAAATTCATTAGTTAGTATTTATATTGTTTCATGTTTTTACTATTTATTTGGACCACCTTGCCCATTAACCCTAATTTTTAAAATCCCTGAGCAAACTTTGTGTTATACTAACCTTTTTTGCTACAGGCCTATTTTCAAGGCCTCCATATCCACCCAGGTCCTTGTACATTTTGTTTGTTATTTATATTTTATTCTTCCCCATTAAAGTTCTTTAGCTTTTGTTTATATTCTGTTTCAGATCTTAATGTGATTTTTATGGATCATTGTTTTCAGTCACCCTAGATTCTCTTTGTATCCTTTTTACAATGTTACATTGATCTTTTGCTTTGGAGACATTTCCAAGGATTCCACTTTAAAGAACTGTAACTAGATCTTTGCACATTTTTCCCTGATATAAACCTATTCCTTTTCTTAAGAATTTATTTTAAAAGGGGCTACCTTCCTTGATACCACTGTAAAATCATTGTCCAGTGTTCTCTAAATAGCTGACTGAAATAAGATTTTTCAAAAGCTTGATAGAAAGTCATATGTAAATTTTTCTTTTTCTTTTTTTAGAGACAGGGTCCCATTCTGTTGCCCAGGCTGGAGTGCAGTGGTGCGATCATGGTTTACTGCATCCTCAACCTCTCAGGTACAAGTGATCCTCCTGCCTCAGCCTCCCGAATAGCTGGGACCACAGGCACATGCCACCATGCCCAGCTAACTTTCTTTGTTTTGTATAGATAGGATCTCCCTATGTTACCCAGGGTAGTCTTGAACTCCTGGACTCAGTGATCCTCCTGCCACAGCCTCCTAGTGTGCTGGGATTATATGAGCCACATGCCCAGCTGTAAAATATTTTTAAAGTAACAAAAGAAGCAGTATTCTCATGTTAAGCTTTTTCCAAATTGGATTCTTTATTAATAAAAATAATAAATTGTTTTCAGTAATATGACTTTTTCTGAGTGGCAAAAGTGGTAATTTTTAAAATTATATCTAACTCCATGCTGTCCAGGATGTACTCAAGAGTGTATTCAGCTGGGCATGGTGGCTCACACCTGTAATCCCAGCATTTTGGGAGTCTGAGGGCAGTGGATCATTTTAGGCCAGGAGTTTGAGACCAGACTGGCCAACATGGTGAAGGCCTGTCTCTACTAAAAATGCAATAATTAGTTTGGCATGGCGGTGCACACCTGTAATCCCAGCTCCTCAGGAGGCTGAGGCACGAAAATCGCTTGTACCAAGGAGACAGAGGTTGCAGCCACTCTCCTCCAGCCTGGGTGACAAAGTGAGACTCTGTCTCCAAAAAAAACAAGAGTATTCTTAGGATAGTGCAATGAATACAGTTCATGAGGATGATAGGTAAGAGCTGAGAAAAATTTAAAAATAATAGGTTGATACAGTGTTTGCTCTTTAAAAATCTGGAATATTGTCTGGGCACGGTGGCTCACATCTGTAATCCCAGCACTTTGGGAGGCCGAGCGGGTGGATCATGAGGTTAGGAGTTTAAGACCAGCCTGGCCAAGATGCTGAAACCCCGTCACTACTAAAAATACAAAAATTAGCCAGGCACTGTGGCAGGAGCCTGTAATCCCAGTTACTTGGGAGGCTAAGGCAGGAGAATCACTTGAACCCGGGCAGCAAAGGTTGCAGTCAGCCGAGATTGTGCCCCTGCACTCCAGCCTGGGCAACAGAGTGAGACTGTCTCAGAAATAATTTGGAATGTTAGAAAGTGATGGGGTTAATTTTTAATCACTCAGGATGCCATCACCATGGAATGTTAAAACGTGATACTATGCTCTTACTTAGCAAGGATGGGGGAGCAGGAGAACGGGAGTGCACACACCTTATTTTTGAAACAAAGGTTTATAGAATGTTGTACCTTTTTTCATTACTGTATCATGAGCACTCTCATGTCTTATTTATTATTAGAAATTTGAATTTTTTAGTGACTACATGAGATTTCATTGTATAGTACCCTCTACTCTTGATCATTTAGGTTGTTTTGAGTATATTACTTGATTCTACTGCTAATTGAAAAATCTGGGGCCTGGCGTGGTGGCTCATTCCTGTAATCCCAGCTACTTGGGAGGCTGAGACAGGAGAATCACTTGAACCGGAAGGTGAAGGTTGCAGTAAGCTGAGATTGCGCCATTGTACTCCATCCTGGGTGACAAGAGTGAAACTCCATTCCCGCCCCCGCCAAAAAAAAGAAAGGTCTGCAATTAACTCAAAGGATTTTAGGAAGAATTATATACTAAACATGCATATGGACTAAAAGATGCATCCTAATTTCAAGAACATTTAAAAGCTAAAATGTGAGTCTTAGGATAAAGGAAATACAATTTGTTATTACATATATATATATGCTGTGATGAATATCTGTAAACCTACATGTTAGACTGCATCTCTGTTTACTTAATTGTAGTTATAGAAGGGGCAGGTGATACAGTAGACTTTGCCAGTAAGATGACTGACAGACAAGATACTGGCCCTTCTACAGGAGATTTTATAGAAAATGGAGATAAGTACAAAATTCTGTGATAGATAACTATAATTGAGGTGTACAGAACAGGTAGTTAACTTAGATTTGGAAGAGTCATAGAACACTTTCTGGAAAAAAGTGGCCTCTAATCTATTTGAAAGGTAAGTGAAAGTTGGGAGAAAACTTAATGAACAAAGGCTCAGAGGTGAGAGAGCTTATCCCATTGGAAACACTGAGGTTGAAAATTGCAGGGGCTTTAAAGTAGAGTGATCAGCAGTACTAAATATAGAAGAGGGTTTGAGTAAGCTAAGAATTGAATACAAGGCATTGGACTTGGCAGTTAGGGGTTTCAGTGGCTTCATCAAGAGAATTTTTAGGGCTGGGCAGAGTGATGTAATCCCAACACTTTGGAAGGCCAAGGCGAGCAGATCACCTGAGGTCAGGAGTTTGAGACCAGCCCGGCCAACATAGTGAAACCCTGTCTCTACTAAAAAGCACAAGGGGTCTTAAGTGAGAGTCAAGGCACGGAAGAGCTAATGCAATGGAGAGAGGGTCAGTGCCTAAGATGGTGGAGTTCAGGATTTCTGAGGTAGAGGAGTTCTGGATGACTACTTGATTTAGTGTGATATCCTGGTTGCAGCTGAAGTGGACTGGAGGTTAAGTTGCATTTTAGACGACCCCAGAATTTTAAGACTAAGTTATCTACATAGTCTTTGTACTTCCCATAGCAGAGAAGAAAACAGCCTGGTTCCAAATTCTTCACTGAATAAAGATGATAGAAAGAAGTGATTAAAGATGATAATTGCTGGGTGGTTGAGTTGTATACACTAAGCTGGAATGTGTAGGTAGCTAGGCTGGCCACAAAAGGACCTTTGAATAAGGGAAAGGTTATATATTTTTAAGCCCACCATATCACCTAGGGCAGGTCTGGGTCTAGGGCATATGAGTTGAATCATTACTAACTAAAAACAAAGGTATTTGAGCTGGAAGGCAACATACATCTCTGGCCATACCACCTTGAATGCACTTGGTCTCATCTGAAAGGCAGTTTTGATACCAGCAGTTCAATAGCAGAGAAGATTATTATAGAACTAGCACTGATTTTATTAATCATTTAGAAACAATGGAGCTTACTATACTAGAACATAATAATTAGGGGAAAAGTGATAACAGATCAGAGGGAACAAAACAGAGGTCTGAGGTCTGTTTATATTTTGAGTTTTATAGGCCATGGAAAAGAGCTCAGATTTTAAACTTATTTGTCCTGCATATTTTGATACTGAGCTTATATTATAAATATTTTATTAAAAAACTGATAAACATAAGCTATCACTTCACAGAAACACAACCATCAAATTTTAGAGCAAAGGAAACACAGTGGTCTTTGAGTGCAACCCTTAGACTTTACAGATGAGGATTCACCCTTGCGAGTTTGAATCTTTCTATTTTTCTTGAAATGAGATACCAGTGTTATCCACGCTGGAATTCAGGGATGCAGTCATGGCACACTGCAGCCCCAAACTCCTGGGCTCAAATTATCTTCCCACTTCAGCCTCCCAGGTAGCTAAGGAGGCTACTTTTTAATTTTTTTTTTTTTTGTAGAGACAGAATCTCACCAGGTTGCCTAGGCTGGTCTCAAACTCCTGGCCTCAAGTGATCAAGCCAAAGTACCAGGATTACAGGTGTAATCATTGCACCCAGCCAAGTTTGGTAGAAATATTTCCTTGAAAAGTTGGAAACTTAACATTAGAATTAAGTAATTCTATATTAAGGATTTTGAGAATATTCTCCTTTGTATTAAAAAACATTCATAGTATTTACTTTGAGCAAGTTAAGGCATTCCTATTATGTATCTTAATATAATCAAGGACTAACTTGGTTACTATTTTGCTTATTGTTATATATATAAGTATTGATACTGTGCCTTTTTTTACATCTTTTTTTGAGACGGAGTCTTGATCTGTCACCAGGCTAGGGTACAGTGGTGCAATTTCAGCTCACTGCAACCTCCGGCTCCCGGGTTCAAGTGATTCTCCTGCCTTAGCCTCCTGAGTAGCTGGGACTACAGGTGTGCGCCACCATGGCCAGCTAATTTTTTGTAGAGACAGGGTTTCACCATGTTGGCTAGGATGGTCTCTATCCCTTGACCTCCTACCTGCCTCAGCCTCCCAAAGTGCTGGGATTGCAGGCATGAGCCACCATACCTGGCCTGACCTCGTTTTTTAAAAGTACTGATTGTGGTGATAACAGCACATATCTGGAAAGATACTAAAAACCATTGGGTTGTATGCTTTAAATGAGTGCATGGTATGGTATTTTAATTATATCTTAACAGAGCTGCTATTCTTTAAAGAATTGATTTTAAAATGTGTATGTCAGCCTTTTGTGTTGAATGGTTATTTCTATTTTAAAGATAAGGAACACATTTTTAAATAATTTGGTTGTTTCAGTCGCTGGGTAAATCGGAGTGCCACTGCACAGCGCAGGAAAGAACGCCTTCGCCAGCATTCTGAGCATGTTGGGCTGGACAACGACTTGAGGGAGGTATGTGGTCTGCCTTCCTTGGGTGCCTCAAAGAAAGCGCCATGAACTAGGCTTATTCCTTCCAGCAGATGTCATTGTGTAGATTCTTAATATTCTTTTAAAAAAAACTTTACTTATAGTTTAAAATATGAATCCTTTTGTACAGACATATAGCAAAAACACCCTTTTTTCCATTTTTGTAATTTTTTTTTTTTTGAGACGGAGTCTTGATCTGTCACCAGGCTGGGGTACAGTGGTGCAATCTGGGCTCACTGCAACCTCCAGCTCTCGGGTCCAATTGATTCTCGAGCCTTAGCCTCCCGAGTAGCTGGGATTACAGGCCCCCACCATCACACCCAGCTAATTTTTGTGTTTTCAGTAGAGACAGGGTTTCATCATGTTGGCCAGGATGGTCTTGATCTCTTGACCTTGTGGTCTGCCTGCCTTGGCCTCTCAAAGTGCTGGGATTACAGGTGTGAGCCACCATGCGTGGCCAATTTTTGTAATTTCAAGACATCTAAAATAAGGCTCTAAAACAAGTCTTTCTGTGTATTACATCAGGTAAAGATCAAGTTTAGGATAAATTTTTAGTTACTATGTCTCCTATAGGGAGAAAAGTTGTCTACTGGAGAAGTGTAGACATTTCTAAGTTTCAAGCATAATTTAATTATAATAAGTAATGTGATGTACTTGCCTATGCTTTATTCTTTGCTGGCACCATTTTTTTTTCTTGAATATCTAAATCTACTTTATATTTTTGAAAGTGTTCTGAAATTATTTTTAGATCCTTATACTTTTACTCTTTGTAAATAAAACCATAATTATACAGTTGAATAATTACAAGTAAGTTTTGATTTTTTTTTCTTTTTGAAATCTGCCACAATTAAAATACATATATATATATATATATATATATTTCTTATGTTTTGCTATATTGCCCAGGCTCGTCTCGAGCTCCTGGGCTCAAGTGATGCTCCTGCTTCAGCCTCGCAAAATATTGGGATTATGGATGTGAGCTACCACACCCAGTCTATTTCTTATGATCAAAAGAAAGATGTAGTCAGAAGACCTGTTCATTGTTTTCTAGAATCAAATTTATAGAAATAAAGCAGAAAACATTCCAAACATCTGTTTTTGTGTTCATACATGTATGATTTTAAACATTTTATTAAGAACTGAAGCATCATCTCTGTAGTGTTTTGTTTTTATTTTTTGCTACTGTATTTTTTTCTCTCCCCTCTCTTTTGCTGTGATTTTACCGTATGCATGCTTGTTCTGCTTGTCTCTTTCTCCCTTTCCTTTTCTTTTTTGCTTTTCTGTCATTGGCACTTCTCCATCCTCTTAGCCTTCCGGGGAACTTTTGGTCTGTCAGAACTCCATGGCATTCTGGGAGTGGGATCAGGGTCTACCTCCTCCTGCACGACTTCCTAAAAAATCCTTCTCTGAGTGCTGCCTGGTATGTTCTTTGCCTGAAAGTACTTTACCAGATGTTTCCCCAATCTTGTCTTTGGTGTTATTTGAATGTTACATATGTGTGAGTGCATATAGCTCTAGAATGCCTCACATGACCTTGTGATGTGAACTCACACTCCCCATTTTGCTTCCTGCTTCCTGTTGTGTTTAGTCCCTTTCTGTGTTTCTGTGTGCTAATATGAGTAATTCTATGCTGCTGACATGTAAAACTAACCATTCGGATCTCTGATCACTGGGATTTTTTTTGGTGCCAGATAGCAAATTGCTTTACTTCAAAAGGGAAAATGTATTAAATATACAAACTCCCCTTTATTTAAGTGTTTTCTAGAAGTACAGATGTGATTCAACTTCAAATAGCCTTTCTTTTGCTGGACTTTTTATCTCTACAGAATTTTAACTTCCCCTTCCTGGTGTGTATTTTATGTAGTCAGAAAATTCGGTCATCAACATAGAATCTCAGTGCCAAGAGGAATCTTTAAGGTCATCTTGTCCAATTTGACATGATTAATTGAAGTTCAAGAGATCTGCCCAGAGTTAAAAGCACACAAAGACAGAGCTGGGCCTATAGCCCAGGAATCCTGACTTCTAGGCCACTATTCTTTCCATTTACCTTGCATGCCAGCTTGTATTAACCGCAGTTCACTTGAGGCCACAAGAAACTTAGAATCTTGCTTGTATTTTCCCTCCATATTAGCTTAAATCTACTTTATTTTACAACAGTCTTCTCTTAACAAGTTGAACACCAGGTAAAGGGCTAGGGTGTTTATTAGAAAATTCTGGGAGAGCCTGTATTAAAGAGCAGTTAGTCTGGTGTTTATTGAGTAATAGGATGGATATATTTTTTTTCTCTTTTTCTTTTTTTGAGACAGAGTTTTACTCTTGTTGCCCAGGTTGGAGTGCAGTGATGCAATCTTGGCTCATCGCAACCTCCACTTCCCTGGTTAAAGCAATTCTCCATCCTCAGCCTCCGGAGTAGCTAGGATTACAGGCGTGCACCACCCTGCCCACCTAATTTTGTATTTTTAGTAGAGACGAGGTTTCTCCACGTTGGTCAGGCTGATCTCAAACTCCCAACCTTAGGTGATCTGCCCACATCAGCCTCCCAAAGTGCTGGGATTACAGGCATGAGCCACCTCGCCTGGCCGAATAATAGGAAATATTTTCATAGGTAGTTCCTGGTAGTTTGTTGTGTTTGTCTTCAGCAGAAATAAAGAACATAGTAGTAATCTCAGAAGAAATCTGGGGTTACTTCTAGACTTTATTATAAAAGCATTTCTTGTGAAAGGTGTCTCTTGTATATTTTTCATCTTGAAATATATTTTTTCCTCCAGATGATATATATATATTTTTTTGAGACAGAGTTTCACTCTTGTTACCCAGGCTGGAGTGCAATGGCACGATCTCGGCTCACCGCAACCTCTGCCTCCTGGGTTCAAGCAATTCTTCTGCCTCAGCCTCCCAAGTAGCTGGGACTACAGGCGTGCGCCACCATGCCCAGCTAATTTTTGTGTTTTTAGTAGAGACGAGGTTTCACCCCGTTGACCAGGATGGTCTCGATCTCTTGACCTTGTGATCCACCCGCCTCGGCCTCCCAAAGTGCTGGGATTATAGGGATGAGCCACCATGCCTGGCCTCCAGATGATATTTTTATCATCACTTGTTTATTTTAGAGGCACTTGCTCTGTTTTTGCAACTGGCAGAGGCAGCCTCCCTTCTTTCTGTGAAGAGAGGACGCTTGCCGCCCCTGGTATCCTTTCTGTTCATGTCCATAGAATGTTGCTAGTTCTGTGGCTCCAGCAGAGATGCTCAGAAGAAGACTTTGCACATGGCCCTATGGAATCCACTGTTGGCTAATAACTGTACCTGCCACATATGTGCTAGGAGCTCAGTAAATTGGTCACTCAAAGGAGAGCCGCCATCTAACTTGTTTTCATTTATATAAAACAGGACATAAACTTTAAATAGGGCTTAATTTGTTTGTTTGTGTTTTGAGACAGAGTCTCACTCTCTCCAGGCTGGAGTACAGTGGTGTGATCTTGGTGCCATCTCAGCTCACTGCAACCTACGCCTCCTGAGTTCAAGTGATCCTCCTGCCTCAGCCTCCTGAGTAGCTGGGACTACAGGTGTGTGCCCCACAAGCCCAGCTAATTTTTTGTGTGTATTTTTAGTAGAGACAGGGTTTCACCATGTTGGCCAGGATGGTCTCAATCTCTTGACCTCATGATCTGCCCACCTTGGCCTCCCAAAGTGCTGGGATTACAGGCATGAGGCACTGTGCCTGGCAGACAGTCCTTAATTTTTAACCCAATAATTGACTTTAAAAAGTATTCAGGGGCCTGATGCAGCGGCTCACACTTTTAATCTCTGTACTTGGGAGTTCAAGGTGGGCAGATCACTTAAGAACAGGAGTTTAAGTCCAGCCTGGACAACATGGTGAAACCCCATCTCTACTAAAAATGCAAAAATTAGCCGAGTATGGTGGCATATTCCTGTAGTCCCAGCTACTCAGGAGGCTGAGGCAGGAGAATTGCTTGAACCTGGGAGGTGATGGCTGCAGTGATCCAAGATCATGCCACTGCACTCCAGCCTGTGCAACAGAGTGAGACTCTGTGGGAAGCAGAGGCTGCAGTGAGCAAAGATCACACCACTGCACTCCAGCCTGGGCAGCAGAGTGAGACTCTGTCTCAGAAAACCAAAAACCAAACAAAAACGGTATTCAGGCTGGGCAGTGGCTCACACCTGTAATCCCAACACTTTGGGAGGCTGAGGCAGGCGGATCATTTGAGTTCGGGAGTTTGAGACCTGCCTAGCTAACATGGTGAAACCCCATCTCTACTAAGAATACAAAAATTAGCCTGGTGTTGTAGCACCTGCCTATAATTCCAGCTACTTGGGAGGCTGAGGCAGGAGAATCACTTGAACCCAGTAGGTGGAGGTTACAGTGAGCCATGATTGTACCACTGTACTCCAGCCGGGCCAACAAAGCGAGAGTCTGTCTTAGAAACAAAGAAAAAGCAATGGCCCACGCCTGTAATCCTGACACTTTGGTAGGCTGAGGTAAGTGGATCACTTGAGGTCAGGAGTTTAAGACCAGCCTGGCCAACATAGCGAAACCTCGTCTCTACTAAAAATACAAAAATTAACCGGGTGTGGTGGCGGGCACGTGTAATCTCAGTTACTCTGGAGGCTGAGGCAGGAAAATTGCTTTTTTATCCTGGAGGCGGAGGTTGCGGTGAGCCAAGACCAAGGCATTGCATTTCAGCCTGGGTGACAGAGCAAGACTCTGTCTCAAGAAAAATATAACAAAAACAAAAAACAACTAACTAACCTTCAGGCTGTTTACATAGACCTTATTACATTGGGCTTCTCTGCTGGTAATAGTTGATAGATTTTAAAAATAAAATAAACTCTGCAGACATTTAGTTCCCATACCATTTATGTGTACTTTTTCTGCTTCAAACATTTTTAAGAGGGTAAAAGAAAGAAGGGGAATTTGAGAATTAGAGACAACTATTAAAATGACTGGACTGGAAAAAGACATTATTTCATTAATTTTGCCTTTTATCCCAAAGGTTGGGAAGTAGCAGGTAAACTGATCAGTTGAATCCCTAATCAGTGGGATTTTTTTTCTATTTGTACCAGACTTGACAGATTACTTTTCTTCCAAAGGAGAAATATATTACATGTACAAATTCTCTTTTTTAAAGAATGCAAAAGATTTTACACATCTTCTTTTATAATATCAAGTCCTCTGAAGATAGTAGGGATAGATTTCACATATGTGCCTGTGGGAGGATGTGCCGGCTTGCAGTCTCTGTCTCCCCACTGCCTCCCCCTACCAGCCAATAAACTGCTAGTTTTACTATATAATGTAGAGCACTTATTTTCTAAATATGGTCCTAAGACATTTGGACATTTTAGAAAATTCTGCTGTGTGATGCTGATGTAAACATAAGGTATCTGGATGAACTTTTTTTTTTTGAGATGGAGTCTCACTCTGTTGCCTGGGCTGGAGTGCAACCTCCACCCACTCACTGCAACCTCCACCTCCTGGGTTCAAGTGATTATTCTTCCTCACCCTCCCAAGTAGCTGGGACTACAGGCATCCACCACCATGCCTGACTAATTTATGTATTTTTAGTAGAGACGGGTTTTTACCTTGTTGGCCAGGCTGGTATCCAAAGCCTGACCTCTGGTAATCCACCCACCTCGGCCTCTTCAAGTGCTGAGATTATAGGCATGAGCCACCTCCCAGTCTTTGGATGAACTTTTTTTTTTTTTTTTTTTTTGAGACGGAGTTTCGCTCTTATTACCCAGGCTGGAGTGCAATGGCGCGATCTCGGCTCACCGCAACCTCCGCCTCCTGGGTTCAGGCAATTCTCCTGCCTCAGCCTCCTGAGTAGCTGGGATTACAGGCACGCACCACCATGCCCAGCTAATTTTTTGTAGTTTTAGTAGAGATGGGGTTTCACCATGTTGACCAGGACGGTCTCGATCTCTTGACCTCGTGATCCACCCGCCTCGGCCTCCCAAAGTGCTGGGATTACAGGCTTGAGCCACCGCGCCCGGCTGGATGAACTTTTATAGGCAGCATGGAAAGAAAAGAGAGCATATGTCTTACACTAATCACATGTAGTGATTTTAATAGAAATTCACGAACTCCAAAACTCAAGAGCATTTGATTAAGTTTCTGTGATACCTTAGAGTTACCATAAACCCCAAAAGTAACACTGTAATTCCACTTTCTCTTGATTATACAACCAGGCAAGGTAGGGCTTTAGCAAAAACATCACAGAAAGAGGCCTCCTTCATTTGGAGCACATCGTGCTTTTCAGAGTGATTTTATAGCCTTTTTGGGAGGTAGGTGGGCATGTTTTATGCCCATTTAACAAACTGAGATGCACAAACATTAGTTGATATGCCTGAGTCATAAAATTAGTTACAACCAGATTCTAGAGCTCCTGATTTTACTGTTATGAGTTGATTATAGAGCAAAGGGTTAGATTGGAGAGCACTTCCCAGGAGGCTAGAGGTATGTTAAGTCTCTTGCTATATGGGGAAAGGAATGGAGGAAACTAGTGATCCGAGAACCACTGGGCTCCTGCAGAACCTTGGATTTGTAATCCAGACACCTAAATTTTTTTTATCCCAACCACAATCCTGACAATCACAATCTTTTGTATTCCCAATAAAAAGACTAAATGAAATGAAATGTCATCTCACTTTGAATGAGTTTTAACCTGATGGAGTTTCTGTCACTTTACTTCTCTCACAGGAGTTAACAGTTGTTGTGGGGTGGCATATGAGCGTCTTCTATCTTTTGGTGCACCAAAACTTTAATTGTTGTTATGCACATACACTTATGGACTTTTTTGCATTTTGTTTGTCTCTGCACTTGTTTGTATAAGGTTAAGAAGATTAGAAGAATAGCTAATGTTTATGCATTAAAAATACTCCTTAATTTTTAGAAATATATGCAAGAGGCACGAAGTTTAGGAAAAAACCTGAGGCAGCCCAAACTGTCAGACCTCTCTCCTGCAGTGATTGCACAGACCAACTGGAAATTCGTAGAAGGCTTATTAAAAGAATGTAGAATGAAGGTATGTATTATTCACTGATGCCAGACAGTGGTGCATTCATGTTTACACCATGTGTGAAGCTAAGATGAACTGAGTTAACCCCCATTTAAGCATGTAATTTTGCTAGAAGAAAACTTGTACTGTGGCATTGACCTCATGTGCTCTTTACTTGGGCATTGAACCTTCATGGGTTCTCCACTGACCGCAGAATCAATGACATGAGAGCCTTGTGCTATCTTTCTCACCTTTTCAGATATTGCTGTCCTCCTCTCCAAGATGAGGAGATGTCTTAAACCGCTCGTAATTGCATCAGGAATGTTGTCATCTTATGTGAAAGACAACACTTTTGTTTCTGTGTATGTACCTGTGTGTAACCTTATTTGTGTCTATACATGATTTGTGTTCCCGTAAGGAAAAAGATCTTAGCTGAGTTGCAGGTTTGTAAATATTGCACAACAGTCTCCTCAGATATCTTTGTTCTTTGGAGGTAGCAGTACAAATTGACAAAACTTAAAACATCATTTTAACTAATAATTTTATTGATTTATTTGACAGTCATTGAGTGCCTTCTCTGCATATTCAATAAATACACTGTTTTCAGCATCAGTATATAGTGGTGAATTAAAGTTCTCGCCTAAAAGAGCTAGATTCTCGTTCTTACGTTTTATAAAAGCTACTAAGACTGATGCAAATTAACTTAAGTGAAACTGATTTCCATTTTCTTTACATTTTTTGGTACATGCTCGATGAACGAAGAAAAGATAAAAAAGGAAAAGAGAAGGAAAGTCCTGGTTCATTCACAAATTAGAGTTCTCAAAAACTTTAGAGCTGCCCATTTTTATTGTGGTTTTTACCTAAGTGCAGTCAAACTAAATGCAAGAATCTTTAGTATGTATGCTAAGATGCTGGGACAGTGATAGGGCAGGTTGTGGTGGCAGGATGGGGTTCCATATTCTTATAGTACATTTTCTTTTTGTTTGTTTTTGAGACAGAGTCTCACTTTATCACCCAGTAGGCTGGAGTGCAGTGGTGCGATCTCAGCTCACTGCAACCTCCACCTCCTGGGTTCAAGGAGTTCTCCTGCTTTAGCCTCCCAAGTAGCTGGGATTATAGGCACACACGACTACTGCCCGGCTACTTTTTATATTTTTAGTAGAGATAGGGTTTCACCATGTTGGCCAGGTTGGTCTCAAACTCCTATCTCTGGTGATCCACCCGCTTCAGCTTCCTAAAGGGCTGGGATTATAGGAGTGAGCCACTGCACCCAGCCCTGACAGCACAATTTCTAGGTCTGATGTAATTCCCCTATATCACAGAAGTTAATAATTTGACAATTGTTGTATATAAGCATCTTTTTAACATGGAGATGACTTATAAATATTACCTTATTTTCTCTAGTCACACTCCATTTCTCTTTCAAAATAGTAACATATAAATTATATTACTCCAGTTAGTTGACCACACAGAGATTAAGATTTGTAATCCAAGGGGATTACAAATCTGCAAATAGAAGTATTATGAAGGCAAGCCAAGTCTCCTACTTCAGTAATTGACTTGTTGGTTTCAATTTCACTGCTGGGGTGCCTTATGACTGCACGTGATATTCTTAGACAAAACGCATGTTGGTAGAGAAGATGGGACACGAAGCGGTGGAACTTGGCCATGGAGAAGCAAACATCACTGGCCTGGAGGAGAATACCTTGATTGCCAGCCTCTGTGACCTGCTGGAGAGGATATGGAGCCATGGCTTGCAGGTCAAGCAGGTAACAGTTTATGAGGTCCTGGTGACATGGCCAGTTAAGAGCCCTGTGAAGAAATGTAACAAGAAGAAAAATATGTCATTAAAAAAAAAAGTAGGTTATTTTGTCACAAGAGGACCAGAAAAGTGCCACAGGCATTTTAATTTCAGAAAAAGAAAATATAACCCATGAGCAGGAGGTGGTTTGGGGATCTTTCCTGCTAAGCAGGAAAGGATAAAATAGCACATTCATTGCAGAGGCTGTATCCCTAGTAAATTCCATTAAATGTTTGCTTTTGTCACTGTCCGGGAAAAAACTCTAGTAGCCAGAATTAACAGTTCCTTACCATTTTAAGTTATCTAATAATTCAGGGTGGAAAAAATTCAAATGATCTCTTTGCTTTTGTCTCTCTAGTCTCCCATTGTGGTTTTTTTTCCTGATGTGTGCATGTTTCTTCCTCCCTTTTTCTCTTTCTTTTCTCACTTCGATTTATTGCTGTCATTACCACTTCATATATCCAAACGTATTTTACATATAAATGTGCACAAGTACATTCTGTTCTGCTACAGCATTTTAATTCCATGGTTACTAATGTAGCCACTGTAGACAGCCCTAATTACATACAACTAAGTAACAACTAAGCTGACATCAGAAATCTTCTTGCCTCCCATGCTGCCCCTTTGCTTAGCTGCTTCCTTTCCCCAGGCTCTTGCCAGTTTTCTCAGTGAGGCAAAGGATGAACTTTATAATACATGCAGAAGATGCTCAGAATGTCACAGAGCTAGGAATGGTTTAGCTTGGGTCACCAAACTTCTAAATGGCTATTGGAATATGAATGATTTGGATGAGAAATTATTTTTTGATGAATTGTTTCTTATAAAATGAAATGTTTACACACCTTGTACTTTCAGGGGAAGTCGGCTTTGTGGTCTCATTTAATTCAATTTCAGGACAGAGAAGAGAAACAAGAGCACCTTGCAGAATCACCAGGTATGAGATCGTTGATGAAGAACTGGCAGCATTGGACTATGAGAAGACGCAATACTGTAGGGCCTTGTCTTGATCTCTTTCTCTCTCAAGCTAAAATTTACTCATTTTGCTAATAATGGGATAAAGTAGAAGGAGCAATATTACTTACTAACTGTGAGACCTTGGAAAAAATCATTTGCCCTTTCTGATCTCTTGCTTCCTCTTCTATAAAATAGGGAAAATAAGATTAGCTAGGCTGAAACTGTCATGCTGATCAAGTAAGGTATCGTGTGAAAAACCCCAATGAATTGTAAACAACCCTGCAAGTATACATTACTCTCACTAGCATTAAAATATTTTTTTTCTTAAAAGTTTTATTGCCGGGTGTAGTGGGTCACACCTGTAATCCCACTACTTTGGGAGGCCAAGGCGGGCGGATCACTGGAGGTCAGGAGCTTGAGACCCGCCTGGCCAACATGGTGAAACCCCGTCTCTACTAAAAATACAAAAATTAGCCAGGCGTGGTGGCACATGCCTGTAGTCCCAGCTACTCGGGAGGCTTAGGCAGGATAATCAATTGAACCCCGGAGGTAGAGGTTGCAGTGAGGTGAGATGGTGCCACTACACTCCAGCCTGGGCGACAGAGCAAGACTCCATTTAAAAAAAAAAAAAGTTTTATAACCAGCATTAATGATTTTTCAGGGAAAAAATGTGTACATATGTCTCAAAAATTTCAGGAGTCAAAGCTCTTTTTCAATTTATAGATGACATAACATGTTAGAGGTATCTTAATTTTTAGCTAATTAGAATTATGTAGGGTTTCTTAAGCTAAGTGTTCTACCTACTAGTATTTTTCGCAACAACACAGGGAGCCTGCTTCTCTTTATGTAAAATAATCATTTATTTCACAAAAAGTAGAAGTACCTGTGGGAAGCTAATTGAGATAAAATGCTTTATATTGAATCAGTCATTTTGGAACCTTTTCAAAAAGTATGAATTACTTTGCACATTCACAAATGTTTTTTTTAAAAAGTAATTTTTTATTTTTGAGATGGAGTCTCGCACTTGTCACCCAGGCTGGAGTATAGTGGTGCAATCTTGGCTCACTGCAACCTCTGCCTCCCGAGTTCAAGCAGTTCTCCTGCCTCAGCATCCCAAGTTCCTGGGATTACAGGTGCTAACCACCATGCCTAGCTAATTTTTATATTTTTAGTAGAGACAGGGTTTTGCCATGTTGGCCAGGCTGGTCTCAAACTCCTGACCTCAAGTGATCCACCCACCTCAGTGTCCCAAAGTGCTGGGATTACAGGCATGAGCCACCACACCCAGCTAATTTTGTTTTTTTAGTAGAGACAGTGTTTCTCCATGTTGGTCTGGCTGGTCTCAAACTCCTGACCTCAGGTCCGCCCACCTTGGCCTCCCAAAGTGCTGGAATTACAGGCATGAGCCACTGTGCTAGTCTTAAAGACCCTTTTATTCATCCTTAATTCCTTTTCCCTCACTGCCTCTAGAAGGCAACACTACCCTAAATGTGGTGTTTATTGTTGGAAATGTAGTGTTTAAAATGTATTTAATCAGACAGCTAGGAATATGAGTTTACTACATTTCCATGGAGCTCCTGTAATCAGAATGTCAAGGTGCTGCTGTCCCTGGCTGTAACTATATTTATAAAGATCCAGATCAAGTTTAAAAGGATTCTCTAGTGTCCCTCTCCTCTGCCACTTTTTTCTGTTAAAAAAGTAGAAATGAGACCAGGTGCGGTGACTCATTCCTGTAATCCCAGCATTTTGGGAGGCTGAGGCAGGCAGATCACCTGAGATGAGGAGTCTGAGACCAGCCTGGCCAACATGGTGAAACCTCATCTCTACTAAAAATTTTAAAAAATTAGCCGGGCATGGGGCGCACACCTGTAATCCCACTACTCTGGAGGCTGAGGCAGGAGAATGGCTTGAAGTCGGGAGGTGGAGATTGCAGTGAGCCGAGATCGCACCACTACACTCCAGCCTGGGCAACAGAGCAAGACTCATCTCAAAA